TTTGGAAAAAAGGAATTGCGTGAGGGAATTCTGTGATCAAGTTGCTTGATTTTCATTTTCAGTACGGTGATTTCACGTTGTGCATGTTTCGTGTATTTTGCATTGCAGTTCGGTTGATGTCCATTTTCTGACAGTCATGTTTGCATTGATGTCGTTTACGTTTTTCGACGACGTAACCCGACCATAGCGCGGCGATTATTTATGACTTTAATGTATTTGTTGTTTCCCCTTACGTAGGACGACACGCGGCTGTGGAAGGCACAGTACTGTTTGTGGGCAGGCGCAGCTGCTTTGGTGCTTGGTGAAATAAGTGGTCATTGCTGTGCCCAATTGGGTGAGAGCTGCGGGCAAAAATGCAAACTTGATGTTTTGGCAGCTACGCAAATGCCCGCCAGGGCAAAGAAACGCTGCAACGAGGTGGAATTTCCATCTTATCTTATTACTTTGCTTGAAGAACTCGATTTGCCCACATGCAAGGAACCGTTTTCAAACATCATCAGAAGGAGATCTACATTTCTGCACACATTGATGATTTGCTATTGGTCGCCAACAAGGTTGATGCTGAGGAGGTTTGTGCAAAGTTGTCGGAGAATTTGACGCTGAAGAAGGGTGGTCCTTATTGAAATTGGTGAAGACGGCCTTTTCATCGCTCACAATGGCAAGTACATTCCAAAACTTGCTGAATTGCTTGGAAGCACCAACCGGCGGGGAAAGTCAGTTCCCCACCACAATGCTTTGGGCGTTTTCGATGCCGAGCTCACTCCTATGGAAGAGTACCTGGACAAGAAGGAGAGCGAAACATTCAGATCGGCTTTGGGAATCTGCCTCTACATTGCTCAAGAGAGGTTGGGCATTCAGCAGGCAGTTCGTGTTTTGGTGAGCTACATGGGGAGACCTACCAAGACATCTTGGTGCGCTTTGAAGAAGCTGGGGAGCTATTTGGTGCAGACCCAGCGCACGCGCACGCACTACCCACATGCTGAGTTGTTTTCAACGACGCTGACCAGGTGGAATGGTGTTGAAGAACTAGAGCTTTACAGCGATAGTGACTGGGCAAGCTGCAAGGTGACAAGGCGCTCAACGTCGTTTGGTCTCAATTTCTTCAATTCCTGTTGCATTCACAGTCATAGCCGTGCTCAAGCTTCAATCTCAGTGTCTTCAATGGAAGCTGAAATCCTTGCTGCAACAGGACTCCTTTGTAGAAAACAATTTTTACAGTTTTCCAAAGACCTCTCGACCAGGCTTTTGTGGAGCCAGCAAGCGATGCGGTTGAAATGGTTTCTTGTTGAAAGGATGTCTGCCAAGGAGAACCCTGCAGATTTGAACACAAAAACCGTTGTCGCGTGAGAGAAGAGAGTATTTGATGAGAAAGATGGCTTTGCTGAGTGACAGTTTTGAGAGTGAAGGTGCGCAGATGTCCAATGGCAAGGTGAAACAGATGGTGAGGTTGATCACTTGGATGCTCGTGGCTGGCAATCTTCAAGGTTGTGATGTGACTTCATCATTGACAAGTCCTTCATGGTTGAATCCTAAAATGTGGACTATGACGACATGGTGGACTTTGACATCATTGGCGTTGTCTTCCATGGTGGTCTATATCATGTACAAGAAAAGCAAGATGTTAAAGAAGTTGCAGAAGCACAAGACATCTTGCAAATGGGCCGACCGGGCCTTACATGTGTACGAGCGTCGAGATCCACTTTCTGGCGTTTGGTTTCATGAAGAAGGGGAAGAAGAAAACCCAGCAGTTTCTGAAGATGATCAAGATGAGTACACAGATGATGACATGGAAGAAGAAGAAGCAATTCCAACAAGAACATTCCTGCGAAATGGCATTCGTGGCTCAAGTCCTCCCGAAGAAGTTCCAGAAGAGCTTGGTGAAATTGCAGATGAGACTCGACATGCAGAAGATGAACCAGCTCCTACAAGTTCGCTATCTCCAGGAGAAGGTGCAACAATCCTTTTGATCCTTGAGTTCAATGGTGGCAGATGTTTGTGCCAGTGGTGCTGATGGAGAAGGAGGTGATAGTTGGATTGATGAGATGAATGAGACTACGTCAGAGCGGTACCAGAGGTACGTGCAATCAGCGCAGTGTGAAGTATCAGATCCTGAAGAATGGGCTGACATTCATCATGGTCCTGCTACATCAGCGTCAAGGAGATCAAGGTCAAGGGAAGCTACTCCTGTGCCTACACCGAGAACTATGCCCAAACCTTTGTGTGAGGCAATGGTTTGTCAAGCTGAAGAAGAAAGTGAACGATGTGGAACTACATTTAGCAGTTCTTCTACAAGTGGATCGAAAGGTGCAAAAGGTGCAAAGAGGAAGAGCAGTTCCTCAACCAGATCATGCTGTGAACTATGTGATGGATTCTTGGGACGTTGCCAATTACTTCGATGTTGGTCTTGTTCCCCGAGACGAAGCAGCATTTGAAGACTATCGATGGGACCTTATCATGCAAGGTCTTGGTCCAGAGACTATCCTTGTTCCCAACTCTCATGATCTTTTCCATTTCATTTCTATGTGCAGCAATCCAATTGAATGTGCGTCTCTGCAGAGGCTACTTCGAAGCCTACAAAACTTTGCTGGTGATGTTCCAGAACAATTCTCTGCAGCTTTGGGTCGATGCAGCTGAGAGCGTGCATGGATAGCTCGAATTCGACCGTGATTGGTATTACTTCACAGAAGGTTCTACACATCTTGGCACAGAAGAAGGTGATGATGGAGACAGTCCCGTGGATCCTCTAGACAGGCTTCCAATTCCACGGGATGATGGCAGAGATGATGGCCGACGTGGTGGAGGCGCTGGTGGACCTTCACCAAGTGCGAGGCCTACTGAAAATTGAGTGAATGGTGAGAGAGGCATGGTGCAAAAAAACACCTAGAAAGAAAACTTGAAGGACTGAGATGAGTCCTGCGGTGTTCAAAGAAAGATGTGGATGTGGTGTAGAAACTCCCTAAGCGGAAATTTCTAAGGCGGGGTGTGAAAACATAGTGGCACCTACACACCATGTCCAATACATAACATGCGCAGTTCAATCATGTCCATCACCGGCCATGCACAGTGGCTCACATAGCTGGAAAAGGACAGCTGGCTGTTTCAGAATATCCCAAAACACGGATGGACATGTTCATGCCAAATTACATTTGCCACACAACATGTGAGGATATTACCCAACCGCCCACTAATATGCTTTGTTAAATACCTTCATTGCCACCACGCGCAGGACTCGATTTGTCTCGGGTTCGCAGTGTTTTGTTGATGGGCTGTTATTTAAGGTCTGGTCCGAGGGAACAAATATGAACTGATTGGATTCAGTGGTCCAAAAATTCGGTTTGGGATATTCATGCCGTGTGCAGGATACTTGTCACCGAAAATTCAAGGTCAGGTATTTTAGATTGGACATTTTGTATGCTGGGTGATATCATGTGCTTGGTGAACATTGATCTGGTGTGTTGTATACTGAAAGTGGCAATAAAACGATGTGCCGGACACATATGATTACATCGCCACATAATTTCATTACCACACATGTGGGGAACACCAACAACGCCGGAACACACACTGCCTGTCCGTTCTTTCGTTCATCATGTCCAAATAATCGAACGATGGTGGGGCAAGTCGGGAAAATTTGCCGACCACTCCAACGATTTCTTGCTATGAACAAGACTCACTCACAACAGATTGATGCGACGTGATATGTGCACATCCTCAATCACGCTTTGCGTCACTTAATGTCGTTGATGGGAAAATTAAATCAAATTGTGTTGTGGGAACGATGGCTGGCCATGCATCCCAGTATTCATTGAACCAAAAACAGGCACATTGCAAGATGCCAATCGAACCAAACAGTGTATTTGACATTCAATAGAACACGTAAAAATGCAATGGTTTGCATCATTCCCTTGAATTTGTATATTATCGGATGGGTGGCATTTAGCGCCTCCCATGGTCTCACTGGTTGTGACCATGTGTTCATTACTCCAATGTCTAAAACCAACAAATTGACTGCGTATGCTGTTCTGCATCGTTGACCGACATGACAACAATGTTTGCTCAGCATTTGCATTGTGGTGAATCTGGGTTCAAAGTTTGCTTAAAGAAACGGATGGGTGTGGGCCAAGCCGAAACGTAAGGCCGGGAACATGCATTGAATTTTGCAATCCCTGGCATCAAGAACAGCTTTGGTTTTCACATTGGGAATATAGCTGGATGATGAGACTTGATGGCATTGCGGCAGTTTTCCCCTTCAAATTTTGTTGCAAAAGTGAACCTGGAAGGCGGCCATGGCAGAAGAGTTCGCAAAGTTCAAACGTTTTGAGTACCGCAACTCGTTGGCAATTGGTCTTGCAACACGTGTTTTGCAGATAATGAACCTGATTCATTCCACATGATTTTTGGCACATTTCTGCGCAGGCACAAATTCCAACTTGGCCAAGTCCCCAGTTGCCTCACGGAACAGAATCTTTTGAATTTAAAAACTTCGTTTTATTCACCAATGCGAAAAAATGAAACTTTCTAAGAAAACCAGGTGTTGCAGCGAGAAGGTGCTGCTCCATCGCAAAATGAACCAACAGGCGAGAGGATGTGACATGATGTGACAGCATGTACCGACTCTTAAAAACATGCGATGGTTCATACCTTTGGTAGTATTATCACTGTTATCATGATTACTATTTGTATTACCATTAATTTCTATTGTTATTGTTATTGTTATTGTTATTGTTATTTCTATTATTATTCTTATTTTTTAATTATTATTCCTATTGTTGTTAGATTTCTATGTAATTGTGTTTACTGTCTCGTAGTTGCTGCGCTTGAATTTGTGACCCGACAATCTGCAGGTGAGCCTGAATCCCTTCGTGGCAGGGTATACCAGAAGTCAGCAACTCGAACAACTCAAACAACTCGAACAACTAAGTAATCTCTCCGAGTCTCTCAGCATTTTTTCGTTTTGAATCAGCACTGAGCTGCTCAGTTGCATCAGTTGCCCGGTCAGGATGGGTGACCTCGTGCAGTACGAGAAACCAAAGGCCAGTTTTTTTCCAGAAGGTCTTGTCATGTTGCTCTTATGTCGCTCGTATGTTGCTCTTATCTTGCGTCGGCAGGAAATCGAAGAGTTTAAGGAGAAAAAGAAGAAGCGACTCGAGGATCCCGCGATTTTGGTGCACAAAGTCTGCAGCGACTTTTCACAACAGTTCCCGGCACAGGAGAAGCGAAAGGAGGAAGATGTTGTTTCCAAAAAGGCTTTGGACTCGTTTTTTTGTCGCTGCAACGAATCATCCAATGGATAGATGGCCAGGAAAAATCAGTGGGGAAATTTGCAGTGTGTTTAGACGATTCGAATGCAGGTCTTTTTGTCGCACAGCCAGCAAACCAGTTTTGTTTCCGAACAGGCTAGGATGGACATCAACAAAGGTGAGACTGTGCTCAGTACAGTCAGATGCTTAAGGGATTTTTTTTTCGCAACTCTTCAAGAGCGGAATGGAAACGAGACTCCATGCAGACAGGCAGACAAGCAGACGGGTGTAGGTCACTGTAGATGTCACATTTTTACACAATGCCAAGTGCGCTTCAAGTGCGCCAAGGATGTGACGGAGATGCAGATCTACCGACCACGGACAGCTCAAACCAAAGCAGTGTACGAGATGCTGCTAAATCGTTCGCCACTGAGTCTCGAGTCATGTCGAGTCATGTCGAGTCATGTCGAGTCATGTCGAGTCATGTCGATTCATGTCGAGTCATGTCGAGTCCTCGACTCCGGTGACACGAAAATCAAAACTGCAGGTCTTCAGCAGCCACTTGGTGATCAGGCCCATAGTTTTGAGGAAAGGAGAAAAACATGATCATTGATAATACAACATGACAGATGATAGCAATGATAATAGCATATAAATATACATATATATATATGTATATCATATATCACATATATATATAAATACACATAAACATATATACATATATACATATATACATATATACATATATACATATATACATATATACATATATACATATATACATATATACATATATACATATATACATATATACATATATACATATATACATATATACATATATCACATATATCACATATATCACATATATCACATATATCACATATATCACATATATCACATATATCACATATATACATATATACATATATACATATATACATATATACATATATACATATATACATATATACATATATACATATATACATATATCACATATATACATATACACATATACACATATACATATATACATATATACATATATACATATATACATATATACATATATACATATATACATATATACATATATACATATATACATATATACATATATACATATATACATATATACATATATACATATAATACATATATACATATATACATATATACATATATACATATATATATACATATATACATATATACATATATACATATATACATATACATATATACATATATACTATATACATATACATACATATATACACATATACATATATACATATATATATACATATATACATATATACATATATACATATATACATATATACATATATACATATATACATATATACACATATATATACATATATACATATATACATATATACATATATATATATATATACATACATCCCGGCGGACCGGAAAGTGAGGTCGTGAAATACTGTTTTTTTCAAATAATCATCGTTTCGCCTAGGCGAAAACACAATTCAGCGATCACAAAAACTCTGAAATTCAGACGTCTGAATTTGGTGTTTTTTTAGATAAATGTGTATTTCGCCTAGGCGAAACGCAATTTCTGCTTCAAACAAGTTCAGGCATGCTCAACTGTCCGCACCGTCATTTTTACATCTCTTGCAGTTTGGACACCGTGGCTTTCGCCAAGCTTTTGTACGTGTGGATGAATCTCCATTGCCACATCTTGCAATAAAGAATCAAGTCCGCACTCCGGGCATGCAAACTCTTTGGCACGAATTTTTTGCAGGACGTCCATGCGGCATCTATTGTGCCTGTGTGCGCTTTGAGCTTTTCTCGGTTTCTTGTGACATCCTACCCCACCCCATCATCAGCGTAGCATCAAGAACCTCAGCAAGTTCACACGAACGTTAACATGCTCCACCTCACCCCACCCCACCCCATCATCAGCGTAGCATCAAGAACCTCAGCAAGTTCACACGAACGTTAACATGCCCCACCCCACCCCACCCCATCATCAGCGTAGCATCAAGAACCTCAGCAACGAAAAAGAAGCGTTTCGCGACCTCAGTTTTCGGTCCGTAGGCAAATACATATATACATATATACATATATCCATTGTAGAACTGGTAGGGGCCCCTTGGCTATTCCCTTTCCTCCTCCACTCAAAGAAACACCAAGGCCCTCCTGAGCCGCAAAGCAAGGCGCCACACCTTTTATGGCTTCCAACGCGGACACACGGATCCAAATTGGGGGCTACCCAAGCCCTCGCTGTTGCACCTGAGCCACACCTTGAAGTGCATGAAATGGATTGTTTCCCATTGGATAGAGACCCCTGCAGACAACGGGTTGTACTGGTTATCCAATACCATCACGTGCAAGTGGCTGAGGATTTCACAAAACAACACTCCTAAAAAATTCTCTTCTTTCTTGCAATCTCCGACATGGAGACAAAAGGAATTTTGGATTTTCATGACTCGGTCCTTGGATTTCCAGTCTCATTTGTATTGCTGGATCTCGAAGAACAGCTGACGGCTTGGCAGAAAAGAGGAACACTTCGGAATCTATTCTGATCCATCCGGTATATCCAAAATACACGCAAAAACGTGCAAAGCAGACTCCACGGGACTGTCACTGGTGGTCTGGTACCACTGTTGTCTAACTTTCTTGTCAGCTCTCTGTTTAAGTATTTCATCCACATCATGAAGAATACATTTTCCCTTAGAGAGAAATGAACGCAGCACGGTGGTATCCATGTCCTTCGTGAGAGAATCTGCCATTTGAGCTGCACTGTGCACCCATTTAATTATGACTCCCTCCTTCAAGCGCTCTTTCACCACTAGGGCTTCAAGCATCGTACGATATTCTGAACATTGGGGAATGGACGTTTTCTGAAGGAGGTCAAAAAGGCTCTTGCAGTCGACAACAGCAAATGCACTAGGAAGTTTCTTCAGAGTTTCTTCGGGGTTTTTCCATTCCAAGTTGGGATTGAGCAGCCAGGCCCAGTGAACTCTAGTCCAACTAAGCAAGTCGAGTGCACCTGACAGGGCAAACGTCTCGGATGTCAACGTGCTTGACACCACTCTGTTGATCTTTTTGTAGAACCATAACAGTGGACTGACCAAAGCGGATTGGGTTTTGTCAATGGTATCTGTGGTGGCAAGTATCACGCAACCTTTCTGCGAGTGAGCTTTTTCCCTCGTAGCAAAGGCGGCATCAGAGAAGGATAAGAATCTCAGTTCTTGCAGAGGCAGTGCTTGAACTCGAATGGCCGTTTCTGAGAAGCGTTTTGCCTCATTCAGGATTCTGTTTCCTTGCAGCAGGTCACTGACTGGCACATGTTACTCTTGCTTGTAAAAGGCTGAGTTTACATGAAAGATCAGGTCTGGTGTTGGTGGCGGCATACTGGAGGCTTCCAATAAGTCCCCTGAGCTTTTGGAGTTCTTCGTTGGTAATCTTTGCTTCGGGTGTCTTTCGGCGTTCCCGTGGGATATCGATTGGTGGTATGTCATTAATGTAGTCTTGTTGGTCCAGTGAAATGTCTCCATTGTGGTCTTGATGAATGTGAATACCAGTGAAAGTGAAGTTTCCAATTCTTTGACTACCGAAAGGGAACCTTTTTTCAAGTTTTTGGATTGCTTGACTGAAGGTTGTATCTCCTCCTCCTAACCCATCGTCAACATGAATGCCAAGAATACCATGAATCTTACTTGAAGAATTATCATCAGCTTTGTTCTTGGGTAATACGAAAAGGCAAGGATCCATGGGTGACACTATGAACCCAAGACTGAGAAGAGCTGCTTTCAGTTCACAATACCATAACAACGGAGCATTAATGAGTCCATAGGCCCCTTTGAGAAGTTCACATACTTCATTGGGTTTGAGATTCATTTTGGTGCGAAGTTCGGCAGGTGGTTCAATACCAAGAATCCTGTCATCTTGCCTGCTACCTCTGAGAAAGGCCGTTCGGATATCGAACGATCTCACGGACCAACGGTGTAGTGCTAACATTCTGCTATCACGGCCCAGTGTCGGTGAGTCACGGGGCAGGGTGTCGATGAGCGGATCCTCATACCCCAAAATGACCAATCTGGCCTTTGGTTTCTTCGTCATCTTCAGTTCTTTTTGTTCTTGTTCATCCAAGTTCTTCCACGTCAACACCCATCGTGATCTCAAGAGCTGGCCTTCGGGAACTTGGTGACGCAGAATCTTTCGTACCGTGTCAGTGGCAAGCCAGGAGTCTAACTCTTTGTCTTTTGCTTTGGCAAACAACTTAGCTTCTTCGGGAGTTAGGTCTTTGGTTTTGACTTCAATCTTCTGGCGCTTGGCAGTGGGTGCTAGGAAATTTTCTTGATATTCATAGGTTCTGCCCAAACACTTTTGGAAATCATCTAAACCCATCAGGATCTCTGCATGGAGAACGGTCTGTTCGGCGATTGTGTTCTTGGTGATGGGATGGCATGACGATGGTTCTGGATTCCAGGATGGGTTAATGAAAAAAATGGTCTTGCCTGTCCATGGTTCGGGTTGAGGTAAATGGCTGTGAACGTTGTTTCTCCAGTTTTCTCGCCTTTGGAAATCTCCGCCAGAGATGTAGTGCCCTGTCGTTTCACGTTCTTCCAACAACACTTCAATGGGAACTGGACACTCAAAAGTATCATGAGGAAAAAATACATTGAGTCGCTGATTCACATGATGACGAATGAGCTGATTTCCACAGATTTCCCATCGATCCGGCACATTTTCATCCAGGATGAGGTCATCCTCTTCTGTGGCGGCAGGTGGTATCGGAGTGTTGATAGCATCTTGCAACATCGCACTGACTGTTGGAGCGACAGCGGGTTCAGCGTCTGGTTGGATTTCCGATCCTATTTGGGAATTGTTAGATGGAAATTGATCTTGAGTATTATTAGGTGAATGTGTCGGGATTATTACTTCAGGTTCATTCATAATTGGGTTTACAGGGGAATTAGATTGGTGGCTGTTTTGTTGGCCCATAAGATCAGTCTCTGATGGCGTGGGTTGTTGGGATAATTCACGGAATTGAAACACACCATTACCACTCCTTTCGGGCAGCTGGAACATGCTACGGTCCAAATCTGAGATGGACCGTTCCTCGTCAGAGGATAGTTTTCGGATGTGCTCTGGTGCGCAGCGATAAAGTCGTGTCATGTGGCTGACCAGATCAGGTTTCTTCCTTCTGACATCAAAACCTTGGCAGGCCCATGCCATGCGCCTGGTTCTACTCCCTTACCGGCTTTCCAATACATGATCAAATCACCTACTTGGAAATTCAGTCGTTCTGGTCTGGATCTGGCATGCAACGCACGACGGAGTTCACTACTATGCTCAGCTCTGATGAAGGCTACTCGGGCAGATTCTCTGCGAGCCATGTTCTGCTGGAATTTGGAGCCCTCAGGGGTCTGTTCATTCAGACCCATGAAGCTGGCACTGTCCAGATACAAGTCGGTGCAGTTCCCTGGCAAAGAGCGCATTTTTCCAAGTACCCAGAGCTCTGGTGTGTATCCCTCATGTCGTGACATAGAATTCTTCGCATTGCATAAGTGAATTAG